GACTGCATCAAGAAGAACGGGCGCATCTTCGCGGCCTTCAGCAGTGCAGGGGAGCGTATGGTGTTTGCCCTGAAGTGCGCGGAGGAGTGCGAAACCACGCTGCGCGAGCACATGGCCATGGACATGGAGGACGGGGAAGCAGTGGAGGCAGCCAAGCAAGCGCTGGAAGATATGGAGAAGGAGCTGCAGGACCAGGCAACTACCAGACGCGCAAGAACATTGGTGCGCAGCAGACCCAGTACCTGAAGGCGCTCGGCTGCGCGGACAAGTGGAGCGACAACGTGCAGTTGCACAGCGAGCGCAGGTGCCGCGCAGGCAGGGACAGGGACAAAACAGCGCCTGCTCGTGCGGACTAGCCTTCTCAAACAAGTTGTGGCGGAGGGGCCGAGGCGCGAACTCGCGGTCAGATCAGTAGATTGTTTGGTGCAAAGTTCACTGGGCGGCACCGGTGACTGCCCGGGGGAGCTTCTGCAGGGACCAGCTCATGAAAGAATGGGCGGGCAATGTGGAATGTGAAGGAATGTGTGGGCAATGTGGAGGACCGCGCGAAGTGGCCCGAGATCGACTGCCTGCCGCGGTTCCACCCGCGCCGCAACGGCCCGTCGACGGCGGTGGAGCTTCTGATTGACGTCGAGTGGGGGGCGTTTGCGGCCGAGAGGCTGCCGCAGACGATCGACGACGCCATCGAGGGGCCTCACCGCCAGTTCTTCGGCGCAGCACAGCTGCTGAGCCCCGATGACCTGCGGGCGGTGGCCCCTCCCATCTCCCCGACGACGCGCCGCGCCAAGGGCTGCGAGCTGGTTGCAGGGTGCCCAATTGACGCGCGGCAGGCAGCAGGGAGGAAGGACTTCTCGTCGCGCAGCCTGTGCGATCGCGCGACGCAGTTCGCGGAGAACGACCGGGAGAACCTGCAGAGCGTCGCGGGGGCATCTGAGAGGGGGCTGCAGACCGTCGAGAAGCTCGAGAGGAAGGACGTCGAGAGGTTCCGTCGTCGTCAGGGACTTCGCGAGAGCACGGGCACCCTGCTCGACGGCGCCGAGATTCTAGGAAAGTGCGCCGTTTCAGGCGGAGCGGCTAGCTCCAGCGGCCGCGCGCGAGAGCGCCCGCTCGCGCCTGCGGCTGCGCTGGCGAAGGCGTATCGGAGTTCATGCTTGCGGGGCCTTCACCGACGTCGGCGCTTTGATTCCGGAGCACCGACGGGAGGCGCAAGACGGCAGGAGACAGCGCACATTCACATGGACACAACGCCACTGGGACGACGAGTGGAAAACCAGGGCCCCGCAGACAATTGGAGCTCTCTCCTCATGCCCCCCCCCCCCCCCCCATGGAACGACATTCGGACATGGCCAGTTTCGCAGGTGTGGAGGCCTCTCACGCGCCGTGACATTAGTGGTGTTGCTCGCCCCTACATACACGCCGACTGGATGGGGCATTCCAGAGACACGCTTTGATTATTATAGAGAATCCGGATGCAGCGTATGGCAGCACACGGCTTGCGTCGGACATTACATCGCACGGTTCGGCCATCGGCCAGCACGTCTAGGAAGGGAAGCGAGTCTAGAGAGGGAGAGGCCTCGTTCGAAGCGTGGGCCCAGCAGGGCTTTGGTTTAGCATGAATCGGGCCCCCCAGCATAAGTTGGGCACGAAAGGAGCCTCCAGCATTCCCTCCATCTTCCGCTCTCCCCTGTGTCGTTGGGGTGAGGTCGCGTCGTCTCCCTCCCCCTGCGTGGGAGTCTTGCTCGCCCAGCGCGTTCCCCATGGATTGGGCGCGCGAGAGGGCCGACAACCGCTCCCCCCGCACTGACACCTAGGGACCCGCACTCACAAGGTAACGGCTTCTCGTACGGGGCCACTTCGGGGCTCGCCCCCCAGGGCATCGTGGCACGCCACTTGCCGGCCACGTGAGAAGATCGGGTTTGCGGCAAATTCTGCTCGCACGTGATTTTGCAAGTCGTGCCCCGCAGCTCCTTTACAGGCGTTTCGACGTTGACACCCATCATGCGGATGTCCTGTCCTGTCCTTCCCTCTCCCTCCCCTCTTCTCCCCCTCCTGGTCCTCCCCCTCCTGGTCCTCCTCCTCCTCCTCCTCCTCCTCCTCCTCCTCCTCCTCCTCCTCCTCCTGTTGGTCCTCTTCCTCCTCCTCCTCCTCCTCTTCCTCCTCCTCCTCCTCCTCCTCCTGGGAGGCGCTGCGGGCCCCGGGCGCGGTGCCGCAGCTGGCGCAGTTCTACATCCAGCGCAACCGGCCGCTCGGCGAAACGGGCCGGGCGGCGCTGCGGGCGGCGTGGATGGAGGCTGGGCGGTGGCAGGGTGGCCTGGTGCTCTGAGCGGCCTGGCGGCGCGCCCTGCGGCACAACATTAAAACGCGTCTAATTCTAGGCCTCCCAGATGAAGTCGGAGTAGATGGGGCCGGAGGATCGCGCCGCTTCGCCGACGCATCGGCGATGCATCAGCGACGCGGTTCGATGTGGGAACAAATTTTCTCCACGCCGACGTCGCCGTTGCATCGCCGACGTCGCCAGTGCATGGCCCGTGCGTCGCCGATGCATCGGCGACGCATTGCCGATGCATCGGCGATGCGGCGATACCTTCCGACCCCAGTAACTCGGATCCCATATAAGAGGCCCTGATAACCCTACGGGGACCATCGAGCATCAATAATACATAACCCTAAACACATGTTTTGACTGGCCACCATCATATCACGACAACCAGGGTCTCAACTGCCCCCCCCACGTCTTGACTGGCCCTTAGTATTGTAAGGCATCCCGCAACATCAATTCGAACAGCCTTGCTCGCGCACCTTATTAACACATTCAGAACTAAGGACAGCCATGTGTCAATGACGCGACAATGGATTGTAAACTAAGTGCCAGGGGGGCCGGGTCGTCTCTGCCAGCCATTTGTGGCATGTTCGGCCTTGGGGTTCACTCGGGCATGTCGTTCTGCAGGGGGAATATCCAAACAATTGTCAAACATGAATATGGGGATTATGTTTCAAGTATGTTGGACAATGTTTCAAATCTGTTTTGACTGCTTTTTATTTTTCGTCCAAAATCTGCCTGTAGGGGGACACGCCCGACCGAACCTTTGGGCCGTCGGGCGTGTCCCTCGGAATGTGTAGCCCCTGCGGGGACCCCCGGCCATGTGGGGGGCCCACCATCGCCAATTGATCTCCAGCACGGGCTCGGTAGTCCCACTCCGCCCAGGAGCATGCAGATCCGCTACCAGGGGCTCATCGCCGACCTATTGGCAATGTATCGCCGATTCGCGCATTAGTCTTCTCACCCCTACTCCTTTTGATTCGGCAAGGCCGCAGCATGACTTACCCCATTGTGCGGCGCTTATTGCGAGGCAGCCGCGCGCGGTTGCACATGCGGATCCCTCAGGGTCTTTGAGGGGCCTATTGTGCCCAGGGACTCCCCTGGGGGGGGGGGAAGGTATTCTGATCCGGGCCTCCCCCCCAGGACACCTCGCCCTCCCCCTCCACGTGGACCCCGAGATTCGGTCTCTTTACAACCCGAGCGACACTTTACAACCGAGATCGGTCACTTTTCAACCAGCAAAGGATCGAATCCCATGGATTGTCGTTGAGAACGACCACTCTGCAACTAGAACGGCCCACTTTGCAACCAGAACGACCACTTTACAACCCAGACTGAACCCTTTACAACCGTAACGGCCACTTTACAACCAGCCTTCAGAAGCGCGTGCGCGCTCTGCAAGGGCTTCTGAAGCTTCTGAGCGCCTGGATGCTCTGCAGAGGCATCTGAGCGTCTGAGCGCTTTGCAAAGGCCTTTGAGCGCCTGTGCGCTTTGCAAAGGCTTTGAGCGCCTGAGCGCCAGAGCGCCTGAGCGCTTTGCAGAGGCATCTGAGCGCCTGAGCGTTCTGCATAGGCTTATGAGCGCCTGAGCGCCCTGCATAGGCTCGTGAGCGCCTGAGCGCTCTGCAGAGGCTTCTGAACGCATGAGCGCCTTGCAGAGGCCTCTGAGCGCCTGAGCGCTTTGCAAAGGCTTTGAGCGCCGGAGCGCTCTGCAGAGGCTTCTGAGCGCCTGAGCGTTCTGCAAAGGCTTCTGAACGCCTGAGCTCTCTGCAGAGGCTTCTGAGCGCCTGGGCGTTTTGCAGAGGCTTCTGAGCGCTCTGAAGCCTCTGCAAAACGAGAACAACAAGTGCTTGCGAAGCAAAATGTACAACTTGAGCCTTGGCTAGAATGTAACCAGCGATTCCTTGGACACTGTCCGCCCTCCTGGGTACGCATGCTTCCGCAACTGCGCAAACATACGGCTTTGCGATTGCCAGACGATGGGGTGCGAGGACAAGCGTGGCCCATGATGCAAAACTCACAATTTGGCATCCACACGCACTGGCTAGGTTCTTACGAACGACTTCTTGGCCACATTCCTGCCTCCTGGGTACGCAGGCGTCCGCGAATGCGAACACGTGCTGTTTTGCGATTGCCAGACGATGAGGCGCGAGGACGGAACAACGTGCGATCCACAAGTATTGACCCGAATGCTACAATCGATGTCTTGGCCACGTTGTCACCCTCCCGGGCGGGCCTGTTCGCACTTGCGAAGACTCACGGCTTCTGCTGTTGCCAGACCAGACACTGATGCGCGGGGACAAACATGGTCGATGATTTTGTCCGGCGCGCGCTGCCGGAGCGTTCATAGCGCCGAGGCGCCGTGCCCAGGACAAGCCACTTGCACCGAATTAGGGGGGGGAGGGGAGGGCCCCCACGACCCCGGCCAGCACAGGGGAGTGCGCGGCAGCGGGATGGTGGGGGGCGTTGCCTCCGCGAACGTCATCGGCAACGCTCACCTCAGACCAGGAGGTGCCACTGACCACTCTGTACACCCTAGCGGAGCGGGTGGGCCCAGGCACTTTCAGGGTAGCTCTTTGGGAGATGTTATAGAGGATCGGGAGTATAGCCTGCGCGTCGCTGCCTTTGGCTCAAGGCACGCGCGCCCTATTGGCCCAGACACTTACCTTAGTGTTCGCTATGTGCTGGAAAGAGAATTACATCGATCTTATCCTATCCTATCCATCCACTCCCCATATCGTATTCCTTCGACATGGAATTGGATGCTATATGACCTGCCAGAGTCATTTCAGACTTGGTAGCGGAGCTGGCCGCACTCTCGTGTGGTCAGCTCTTGCTCTTCTTATCCTCACGCTATCCGGCGCGATCTTCGTGACCAACTTCCACCCTGCGCCACCACTCCAACTACACTCACGAGGATCAATTCAAGACCAAGAAGGAACACGAGAGGCACGACGTCTAGATAACAACATTGGTACCATATACGCTTCATCACTACGCTACTACCAACCGCTCGGCAACGAGCCAAAAGCGCAGTACTTGAAGCATAGGCGGGGAGACCCGCAAGATAAAACGCCTCGTAGACTTGACAAGGCGCCACAAGCCCTACCCCAGCGCGGCAACGCGCCTGATAACCACCCATATCTTCACAGCCTTGGGCTGGTTATCTTCGCCATCATATGGTTTGCGCTGGGGGCAGCAATCGGACACATGCGCCGAGGAGACAATAGCACAGATGGGCAAACACATGGCCCATACTGGGGCCCTCAAGGCAACGTACCTCTCCGCGAATACGTTTATGAGGTCAATGCGTGGCTTAACGTCACAAGCGGACGCATGACGCCACAAGCCCAAGCAGCCGCCATGCAACGCGGCCTGGGTGGCCTAGCGAGGACGCTCGCCATGAGGGTACCACCTGACATTATACACATTATGGTGCGGGCATCGATGGTGTCCACACCGACCCCGTAACCTATCTTATGTTCCTCCTAAGCAGGAAGTTCGAACGCTTGGAAGATGAGCGCCAGCTCACTTCAGGCACTCAGCTCATCGACTTCCACGCGCCTCACGGAGAACGAATCGATGTAACCCTTACTCGGTTCGAGATGGCCCTCTTGAGGCACAGTCGGTGGGTTTTGACCTTCCCAACTTCCAACTGCCCACGATTATCCTGTTCCGCGCCTTAGGCGTTGGCAACCAGCGAGCCATGCAACCCTCGCAGCCACGCAACCACCAAATGCCCCGAACACAACAGCAGCATGACGAGCTGTGTGAGAGGGCGCGCTCTATAGGCCATTTCTCAGAATGGTCTCTTGGCAACGTAGGATCAGTGTTTGGGAGGGGAAGGGGAACTGGCAGTGGAAACGTCTATACTACCTTAACCACTGAAGCTCAGCCTGGCAACGGGCCCTCAAACACATGGGCCGACGATCCTGGAGAATCTATTGCCCCACGAGCAGGGGATCGATCACAACCGAGCGGGGCAACCAGCCCTCCCCCTAGAGAGCCTCGACCCCGCCGTTCCCTGCGGGGTGAAGCGAATCCCTTAAACGATGGGATATCCACCTTCTTAGGTAACGACGACTTCGACTCCGGCACCGACGCCGACACCTATATCATCAGATGGTATCGAACTCCTAGATTGGTCAGATATCATGCAAATGGAAGGGGGCAATCAGCGTGCCGAACACCTGTTCTGGTTATTACAACAAGCAAAGCGTAGGTGGAGGAGGTTCACGCGAAAACCAGTGCGTCGTGTTAGGAGGAGGATACGGAGGAGCTTCAAAGGAAAAAGGTAAAGGCAAACGGGGTCGCCGAAGGTTGAACGGACGAGGCATCTCGGCTTTCCTCCAGAGGATTTCAGATGATCAGTCTGATGAGATGTTTTTTTTTGAGGGGAAAGGCAGTGGAAAAGGCCGTGGGGAGACCTCAGGCAAAGGTAAAGGTAGGCGTCCCGCGCGGTAGAGACGGCCAGATCTGAAAGTGCCACGAGCGTGATAGCGCCGATCATCTTGTAAAGGATTGTCCAGCGAAGGGAAATGGAAAGGGTAGATCGACCGAAGTCCATTTAGGCTCAAGTGAACCGTCTATTGAATATCTGAGCCTCCAAGACTTCGCGGCTGTGGAACATAGTTTTTCACTTGGGCTAGCAGTATGGACAAGTTGGATGAGCTCGAGGCGTGCGGCCATGGGCTTTACGCGTACTACCTCGAGTACCTCCGCAGGTTTGTTCCCGGAAATATCGAGCTTACGCCTTTGGAGAACGGAACGCTGGGAAACCAGCCCTTCTCTTTCTTCGACTGGATGTCCGGTAACCCAGGCAACATCATGGCCTACGAGAGCAGCGACGAGGAAGTCACTGTTGAGGCCTCGCCTTCGGAGGTTGACCACAACCTCCGGCGTCAACCCGACCTCATGTCTGGAAACAGGCCCGCTCCAGTATATCCCCCAAATTATGGTGATCTGATGGAATTAGAGGCTCAAGCATTCACCGTGGGCGTGCCA